ACGCCTCAGATTCACAGACTCCTGCGCTATGCGTGACACTAGTCTGCTGGGAGGCTCGGCCTGAGAAATAGCACTTAATCATCGGGGGCTTGACATCATGTTTCCTGACTGAGGATAAAGCAGAAAATAAAAAACTTCTGCAAGGGAGGAAAAAAAACTGTTAACTTTCTCCTGTCCTATAAGTGTTGTGATAGGACTTGGCCTGGCCTGCAGGGATGGAGTGGAGACAAAAGACCTTTGGCACTGAGGTACGAAATGGCTAATAATTAGCTGCGGTAACTCCATTAAAAAAGAATAATGTAAGCCTATGAAACCAGCCCATATTGACAGATGATGGGTCATCATAAGACTTTTTCTACTGCAGGTAACTGAACACGGTCTCAACTCAAATATTTCATAAGCTGTTGGACAGTCGGGGGTTTAGGCAGGGATCACAGCTCCAGCCAAGAGTCTGGTAGGAAGATCAATCATGACTTATTCTCAATTTTCCCACACTACTGCACTAGCTAACGTGTTGCTGTGCCAGCAGCCACTCCTGGGATGGCCTAATCTACTTCAAGATAGACGTCGTGTTTTTTGTGTTCTTAAAAAGACAGAGGGAGAGAAATGGGGATGGAGAGAGAGAGAGAGAGAGAGAGAGAGAGAGAGAGAGAGAGAGAGAGAGAGAGAGAGAGAGAGAGAGAGAGAGAGAGAGAGAGAGAGAGAGAACACACACACAAAAAGCTGCTACCCCAACTAATTTTGCTGGCTTTTCAAAAAAGCTGAGGTGGTAACATTTCTTGTGGGAAGATTTCATTTTTGCAGCACTTAACAACTTCCAGCAACAAAGACTATTATCAAAAAGGGGTTACTTGTTATTAGGCTTTCCTTTAAAAGAACACAATAAAAAGTGATACATGTGTGCCAACTGGACACAAAACACACGCACTTTACAGAACAGAAACACTTTTTGAAGTGTCAAATGACATCTGATATCTAAGTGTTGTTTGAGATGGAGGATTGTGCAAGGTATCTGTGAAACTACTGGCATTGCAGGTATTAAATCACACGTCTGTTGTTTTGGAATTAACATTCAAAACCGATGAAAGCGCTTGTTACAATTTTCAGATTTGTGTTTCCAAAGAAAAGTTCAAATCTGTTGCCCCCAGATTTTGCAAAGCACAAGAGGAGAGGTGGGATCAGCTGAGAGAACAAGCAGAAGTAAGTTGTTCTGATAGTTTTAGAATATGTTAAGCAGTTTTCCAATGGTATCTTGGGCTGAAAATCTTCTCTTAACCGAGCGTGCAAGCAGATGGCACACAATCACTACCAACGGCAGATGGCACAAATACTACAATCCCAACCTTACCTTAACCTGAACGTAACCTTTTCAACTTACATAAACAACTTCATTACTTCCACCTATTTATATAAACTTTCAACTAAACCTGGATTTCTGATTTGGTAGCCATAAGCATAACCACATTTTGTCACACACAACCCCTGGCCTTGTGTTACTCTACATAAGAAGGATACAGACGGATTCAAACTAATGCCATGCAGTGAGGTTCAGATTTTAAAATGTGAAAAAGCAGCCCTGCCTGGTATAAATTGGCAGATACCCTGAGTTGAAAAAAGCTGGATAAGTGCATCTTTAGGTAAAGTTAGGCTACTAATTGTTGTTAACTGGAATGACAGAAGCAAGCAACTGCGTGTAAAAAGTAGTGATAATAAATTAGGCCTCCCTTACAGCTGAAAACCCAAAGTATTCAATTCACAAATATGTGAAGCAACACAAACTAGGCAAAGCCTCCAACTAACAGTTACCTGCCAATTTTTGGTATTTCAAATCAACTATGGTAATTGATTCATCACTGCAACCATTTTAGCACCACATATGTCCAAACACTGCACTTTAATGGACTCAGCTACTGAAAGCTAACACCCAGCATGACGCACTGTGAACATCCATCTATACCTTGAACAAAGCTCCAGTCATGCGAAGCGGCAGCAGTTTGGATGCGGACTGGGCCGAAGAGAGAATAGGGGTGTAAGTGTGAGCGTGAATGTGTACGTGTGTATGTCTGTGCTGTATCCAGCTCATGATTTGTCTGACAGAGACGCTTCTTCTCGCCTCACTCTACTGTCAGAACGGACTCCAGTTTCTGACATAACCAAGGTGGAAAAAAACTTGACTGCTTCAGAGGAAACCTCTATCCAGTATACCTGCATTTGCCTCACCATATAGCCTTCAGTCTAGTTACATTTTCCTTCCACTCCCTGAATAAACTGGACAGAGAAAGTCAACTTAGGTGGCAGGAACAAATCTTTCTCTTCTGTGGAGCACTAGTAGCAGGTTGTGACAAATACTAGTACTTAAAAAAAGGATATATATATTTGTATCTGCAGGGTCCAGGAGTTACACCTCCACAGGACTAAGTCTAGTAGGCAGTCAGAACAACTCTAAGCAGAAATTACCCACTGACTCATTGCCAATTAAGAAAATTCAACATTCATTAGAAATGGGTTTTTTTAAGTTAGGACACAACTTTTAGGACACAAATTAATTACTTTCATGAATGGAGAAGACAAAAAGAAATTTCACTTGAATGCCAACAAAAGCCTGCACGGTCTTAAGATAATCAACAAATATTAGGAGAGCAGAATGAGCACAGCCAGATAACAGGCAAGTCGTATCAGAGACTCGCCTACAAAAATCAGTACAGCATGTGGTGTTTGCATATTGCAGAATAAGCCTGACATTTTGGAGCTTGTAAATCCAATCTTGATTCTTCAAATTGCCAGCTTGTTTAACGTAATGGTTTGCTGCAGATAATTTGAAGCTCTTCGCAGAGGGAAAAATCAATAACAGCATCCAAGCATTCAGACGACAACCGCACTAATCATGTGTCTCTGGGAGGGACGGCCACTTGGTATCAACATCCTATGCGCCTGCAGTTGCAGAATACACGTTTTATTTTCTCGCTGTCAAAAAAAGGTGAGGAAGTTAGAATGCATAATGCAACGTAATCATTAAAAAAAACAGCTACTTGGATCGATACCTACACCAATCACATTTCAAAGAGTCAACAGACGATACCAGAATACGTTTTAGAATAATGTTGCATTTTCTATTCTCGGCAAAGACGGGACTCACTGGGGTCAGGTTTATATGTTAATCTATACAGAAACTCTAGTGTTAGGGCTGCCATACACACTGAAGAATTCCACAGAGTGTTAATGATTGTGAAAATGTAGGGCAGTGGTTCTCAGCAAGCTGGTCAGGATTACACATGGGGGTCAAAGAAGACGGGGGGCTATAGATATATTTCTGGTGTAAATTGGTTTTGATAAATGCATCTTCCTTATAAAACGATGATTTGTTGCGGTCTATACCGCTTCTTCTACTAATTAAGAGGTCCATAAAATATAAACCAAATTAAACTAGGCACTACTTTGTGGCTGAATTCACCACTTCAGCACATTTAAGCCTGCAGCAGAAGGTTTCCTCCAAGCATCGCTTTGTTTTCGGGGGTCAAGGAGAACACTTTTGAGAACAACAGATGCAGACTACTCACAGCTACAAGCGCTTTTAAACTTTTGAATATCAAAGGAGTGGCTGTGCTTTCTTTTCGGTTACATGTTGCCAAAGAACTGTTTGCAGTTTTAACCACTTTATGGTGCTTCATACTGAAGCAAAACAACTCCTAACTTTAACAGTGAAATGCTGCGAAACATCATAGTTAATATAGCAACTGTGCGACCACCCAGGACGTTAATCGGATATACGAAGGCTGCAAAGAAAGAATGCAGCTTTGCTACAACTAAGGTCAGTCCTTGATGCGAATTCCTTTCTCAAAGCAGGATCAAGCCCCTCTTAACCATGTTCAACCACCTCTAGCCCTAAGCCTTGGCCCTTGGCTATAAAATGCAATCAAGTTATCAACATAATTGAAGAAGCGAGTGTCACCCTGAAAAAGATGGAGCACCTGTCCTTGAAAATTAATAAATGAATGCATCAGCCCTGCTGTCCCGTTGAATACCAGAGTGTGTATGATAGCAGGCAGGGAGTGCCAGTGCATTGCAACCAGGCGGACACTTGTGGGCCCATGTGACACTGTTACAAAGCGGAATAATCCTGCATTGTGATGACAGACAAAGCACACCGGATCTGTTGGCTTCCGGGTTCCGAGCACCGGCTGCAATTTGCGCGTAAAAAACCCCAATACAGTACAGTACAGTACAGTACAGTGTGCATTTCTCTCACTATCTCCACACACCATTTATAAATACCAACAGCAAGTTAAGTTAAACTCTAAGAGGGAATGTATTCCAGAAGTAAAAACAGCCTCGATCAATCATATCGACCACAGCTGAAGGGATAATCCCCATGTAAGCAACCATTTCAACTTCACTCCCTCACACTGAAATGAGTTTCCAATGAATTAAAAACACAACTCTGAGTCTTCCTCCCGGTTATTCACACGTTTTCCTACCATCTAAAGTAAAAGTTATACCTGCAGCTGAAGCCCCCATTGTATACGGCTCACTGCAGCTATTCTTCAGAGTTATTGTTGGGTGAATGCTAAATCTACATACATTACCAAACTAACCATTAGCTGCGTGTCACTCGGATCATTACATTTAAATGCTAAGGTCCCTTAGAGAGAGTACACATCAGGTCTCTGACAACAAAGTGTTTGACATAAAGAGAGAAACCCTGTCGTTGGTCATTACAGGGGAAGAAAAACAACTGTTTATCTTGAATGTCAGGAGCTAACGTAAACATCCAAGTTAGTTAAAGCTGCGTTCAAAACAGTCGCTGTTATTGTGCGGAGTTATAAAGTGAATAAATATATCTTTAATTTCTTCTAAAACGTAAAAAAATAAAAAATAAAGACCCCCCCTCCCCCGACCTCCCACCCCCCTTGGAGCGAAGTGGAGCTCAATCTCAGTCTTTCATTGCCGCTACAAGCCCACTGTTACCGGGGAGCGGACCTGACAAACGCGAGCTAGCTTACCATGGATCAAACTCGTGGATGATGCTCTCGAACCGGATCACCGCGAAAAGTCTGGAGCTGAATCCCGCCAGACAGGCCAGAAAGAGAATGCTAAAGGAGAGCAAAGACTGCCACCCAGCTGGCTGTGTCAGTCCGCCAGACAGGCCTCCTTTACCCCCTCCTCCTCCTCCTCCTCCACCCGCGGCGCCGGGTCGGCTGTTCCCGTGCACAGAGCCCCCGGCATTAGCGGACGCTTTGTGCTTGCCGTCGCTGGCTGCGTGGTGCTCCGCCATTTCTGCGTGCGGTGTCGGTTGGATTGGCTCGAGCGTCCCTCCTGCCACGCTCCCGTGTCTCCCTCCACTCCGTGCTGTCGTAAACTCCTTCTGGTTCGTGCCTGCTCTCCTCGGGGTTTTCTTTCTTGTGAGTCCCCCCCCCCGGGTGTGTGTCTGTGTGTGTATATATATATATATATGTGTGTGTGTGTGTGTGTGTTTTAATTCAGTATCGCTACTCCGAGAAGACAGCCGTTACATCCCGAAACGCATACTCATGCGCCACATACCGAGCCTGCAACAGTCAATTGGCTTCACGATTGAACGCCGGTGGAAAGGGGCGGGAAGGATGCGATGGGCGGAGCATTAGAAAGCTTTGGCGGCCTCTCACAGATCGACAGGTACGAGTGGGCGGGGTTTTGCGTCTTTGAGCCAATCAGAGAGCAACCCCGGCTAGATAGACAAACGAGTCCACCAATGGAAACACAGTAAATTATGGCTGCGTCTGATTGAAATAAGGATTATCCCCTGTTATATATGAAATTGAGTCATTCTGGTGCTCACTATAAATAAAATCCTTATTACTTGGCTTAAACTTGGCTGTAGAGTTGAATTAGTCATTTTTCATAGAGAATAACAAAGACAACATAATGTGCTCGCAGCCCAACACCTAGAAGGTTTCTTTGCAGCCAAGAGCTAGGTGTGTGAAGATAAATGTTCTCTCTGAGTGCAATATTTCTGATGCCCTTGGATGTTCTGGACTGGGTGCTGGAGTGGTAATAAAGATTGATGTGTCTCATCATTATTATGTCCCCCAGCAAAGACAGGAGCACAGCATTCATCATTCTCTTAAACTCAGGATGTACTTTCACAACTTCCCCCAAAGCCCCAAAAGCCTTTATTGGAATAAGACACCTCTTTTGAACATTTCAAATAAATGCTCAAGTTTTTGATTGATCGTATACATTCATTTTGTGCTTCCACTGTTTCATATATAACCACGAGACAGAGGCAGGAAGTATTATTGATTTATCTGAGATGTGATTCTCTCCCAAAGGGGAAAAAAAAACAATAGTCCAACAGTCACCCTATTCTGTGTACTATAATAGATAGAGACAACTTTGTTCTGAAGTCAGAATGGACAAAAAACCCTTTTCTCATCTCCTTGTTCATTTGTTCCATATAATGGTGCTTTCTGTTAACCTAACCTACAGTGCTTCAACTTACACTGAGGTTACCCTTATACAACCAAAGGAGACTGTTTCTAAACAAACAGCAATGTGACCCATTACCATGGGTAATTTATGGCAATGTTTAAACAGATGCTGCACACTAAGTACTTATCAGAGTATTCTAACAGGATTGCATGCATTCCTGTTTAAAGTATAAAACAAGTTGTTAATTACGTCCACTTCAGGATTTAAAAGCTTAAAAAACTGGCACAAATTCACATCTTTAATTTTATATCAACAGTGTTTACAGCTACCCTGACAGCCATAAGATCATGATTTTAAAAAATGTAAATGAAATATTCATGTGGATGAATTGGACTGAAGTTTGAGCCGGCTTAGCACAGCTTTGGATCGAGGCTATCTTCTGGAGAGACGAGGAGGAGATAAGAGGGAGATGTGAATACGGCGTTGAAGAGACCGGGAGATGGAAGGCCGATAATAAAAGAGAGTAAAAGGATGATTATGAAAATTGACGTGGGTCATCGTGGAGAGTAGATGGAGTGGCAGACGTGGATAAGAGTTTTGGGTTCATGACGAGATCACAGAGACCAAAGCTCAGTATCACAGACAGCATTGCAGGCATATGCTGCAGCTTAAAGCCAAAAAGAATTCATGCACACCCACACACAACATACACACAGGCAACATTGTGCAAAGATACAGTGCATGCAAACACATGTAATCCTACACACACACGCGAGCACATGCATACTGATGAATACATACAACCATATGTTCCCGCACACTCACAGTTCCTTAATCATTCATCATGGCCTGCTGATGCCAAGAGGAGCACTCTACCCCTTCAACCTTTCCCCTCTACCTTCAAATTCTAAATGGATGACCTTTGAGACAAATAGAAATGCAGGCTGTGAAGATTGCTTCAATCGCATGTATTGTCAAAAGGCCAAGCCCAGATGAAAGCCAGCCAAAATGAGTGCTGTTGCCAGGCAGGGCAGCTTTGCTTTCCTCCGTCTCCAGAGGCACGCTTGAATGTTTGTGTTTGCTTTGTCTTTCTTTTCAGTTTTTTCTCCCAAGAACAATACAGACTTGCCTGGTTTGTGCTTGGCATTCTTAGGTGTCTACACTTCTTCGCTTTGCCAAAGGCCAGCCGTGCTAAAAAGCTTAAGATGCCTGGCATGAAACGCTCTTTGCACCTTTCTCTCTGTCATCTCTTTCTGCTTTGACTGCATGTGTGAGAGTTCGAAAGCAAGAGAGAGAGAGAGAGAGAGAGAGAGAGAGAGGAGGTGTTGCAACCGGTCAAGATGATTATAATCATTCTGCAACCAGCTAATCCTGGAAGCTATAATCAGCTATGGTATCATCTAGGTGCAGTATTGACTGGATTCAGCAATTTGTCTCAAGATGCATAATAATCTCAAATCTCTCAATCAATTGGGCACGGTGTTATGTAAGCATGTGGGACAAAGCAAAGAATCCCTTGTAAATATGCTGTCTCAGATGGAAGCAAAGTTGCTTTTAAAGAAAAACTGTAATATAATGCAGATGGTATGTGGAGTGCATTGTGGGAATGTGAGGTTGTATGTAATTTGTTTGTTAAGGCGCAGACTGCAGCATGAAGAATATCTCAGAAGCAGGCACATCATGTTCCCAGATTCCTAACATCCTTGCAACATACACCAGTGGAAGCTGTGCAATAGAAGCTGGGGGGGGAATTAGAGTTATAGATCCAGGTTTTATCTATAACCACTTTTTCCTATCGAGGGTCATTAGTAGGGGCTGGAGCCTTTCCCAGCATGCTGTGGGTGGAAGGCAGGAAAACACTAAATTGATTGCCAGTCCATCACAAGAATAACACAGAGTCACACACCATCTTCAATTTACCAGCTTCCTCTCTTGCAAACTACACACAGAAAATACATTTGAGACCAGGATCTTATTGTTGTGCTTGTAAGTTGTTCTTTAATTCACTTGGCATTCCTCTTCTCTGATTGCCTTGTGCATCATTTACATGTACAACCTAACAGGGAGGGAGGGAATCCATTCTGTATATTCGATCAAAAAGCATGGCAGAACATGTTGTAGGATGTTTGCTCCTTGTGAACGAAGCAAGCTTTAAAGACTCCATCTGTGGGTTCCAGTGTAACAGGATGATTATCCAGTGCCTGGGGATCGCCACTGCACATGCCGATCTGCACCACAATCGTTAACAGAAAGAGAGCACTTAAAGAAAACCACTTAGCATCCCAGTGAACTATTTATTTACCTGTCGCCAACAGAGAGTCAGTTTTAATACTCTGTATGCTGTATAGCATCATAATAACTGGCTCATGGTTACATTATGTGTGTCGTAAAAAGAAATCCCTATTTCATTTGTATTCAGGTTTGGACAGGTTTCTATGACAACAGAGTTCAATGACATCTTGTATGCAAGTGAGTCAGAGGATGAAAGGAAAACAAAAACATGAGTAATGACCTGAGTTCACTTCTACTTGAGTATGTGGGGTCTTCTGCTGAGTGCATAGGGTTACCTGTGTGGCCTCATCAGTGACACACCATTTCACACTGAGCATGCCTCATTTCTCCAACAGTCAATGGGGCACAGAGAGGCAGTTAAATCTACTACATTTGAGCACGACCATGTGTGGATGATACGCAACAACTGCAGAACATCTTAATCAAGACTTTTATGGAAGATGTGCTCGGCCATGGGTTTCACCTTGTATGATAGGACTGTTAATCTTGATAATGCCATGAGTGATCCACTGATTATCTATAACACTGCATTACTTAGCTATTCATATGCACTATGCACAGTCAAGCCCAGACTCCTTCTTTAAAGAAAATTGCTTGTTGTGATAAAATACAAAATAGTATGATAAATTCAAGGCGTGATCTATCATCCCAGAGATCAGAGAGCTTTTGCTCAATTTATAAAGCTGCATCTGCCTCAGGATGCTATTGCATTTGTTGCATTCATCTGTCATTTTCCAAGGCATATGAAAAGTTATTTCTCCCTAAGAGGCTGTGAGCAGCAGAGGCAATGACAGTTTCGACTGAAAATGTATTTTCACTTTTTATTTGATTACAATAATACTTTCATCTGCGGCATCGTCTCCGAAAAAGGAAAAAGCAATCAGTGCTTGTCAATAAAAGCTTCCCTTTTCTTGACAAGTTGAATACAAAATAAATGAGAATGTATCACTGTTTTTGATAAAAGTCAGATCTTTGCGTCTTCATTTCACCCAAAATCATAATTTCAAATAATACCACAGTCACAGAATCTATCATTTTAATTTTTAATCAGGCTTTTAATCACAATAATTATCCCATGAAATTATACCATAATTATGCAATTATGGAATTAAAAAAATGTCGGCCTGCGTTTGAGTCCAGAATGCAGGCCTTAAACATAAACAAGGAGAGAAAACTTTTAGTTAATCTTTTTTTTTCACTCTCAACTCTCAAAAAACATATCAGCATAGAAAATTGTCTGTAAACATTCACAGTTCACCACATTCATCAAGATTGATTGTGACCTGTCAACAAAGTTGAACGTGCCTTCAGTGACGCTTCAAATCCTATTGACATGCTGCATAAAAAGTTTATAAGAAAGTTGCAACTGATAGAGAACGAGCCAGAGAGAGAGAGTGAGGTAGGAACCTGAGTTCCACAGGGATGACATACATCTCTACCACTTCAGAATAATAGCTGCCTTATCAACATTTCCCTTTGTTTTGGTATAGTATCGGCCCCATGTCTTTTAAGCTGGCTTACCATTAAGGTATGAGAAATGTAGTGCGTAGAAAACAGTTGAACTTGGTCTGACATTATCCCCGCGAGGGACAGAAAATATGGCTCAGATGTTGAAAATTGAAGTATGTCTCCCAATTTCCCAGCTGCCTCAGCTTGACAAATGACCCTTCTTTCACTTTCCTGAGTGGCCAACATGGGCTTGTCTCAATTCAGAAGACAACAGATTTATGTGATATTGCTTCAGTGACAGCCCTGAAACCTCTGTGGCAAAATTACGGCAGCAGCATTCAAAACAAGAGCAGCAGACATGAGAGACACCTCACTGGTATTATTCTGCTGTGGTGACAAAAACATGTCTCTCTCATTCTTTTTGAA